TTTGTGATTTGAGTTACCCTACTTGCACCTGTATTTAGGTAACCCTACTTACACTTGAGTTACACTGCTTATAAGCGTTAAAAGTAACCCTACTAATCCATATTATCTATGCTGCCTACAAGGTTTTAAACTGTTTTTAAGTAATCACTGTTACAGTCAGAATATATAGCTCCATATAACTTATGCAAACTGTGGTATTTCTGTTTCTCAACGATTGTGTATAATTTATTGTTTGATTAACAGAAATGAAAATGATTCCTATGGTTAAAGGGACTTAACTCAAGAATACTGGTGTGCAACAGATCAAGTGGAGTCGGAAAGAGGGTTATGCCACTTGATCTGTTGCACACCAGTATTCTTGAGTTAAGTCCCTTTAACCATAGGAATCATTCTCATTTCTGTTAATCAAACAATAAATTATACACAATCGTTGAGAAACAGAAATACCACAAAGAGAGTTATGAATTCACACCACATAGATAGGATTGCCATTGAGATGTTACGTGTTGCCTTATCTGTTTATAGGTCCTATCAAGCATGCAGTTGCTTCCCGCGGCGGGGTGCTGTCAGGGAGCGGCGAGTCTACACCGATGTCCACTGCGCCTATCACCATCAACTCATAGTAACATTGACTGTGGTCAGAGCTGCAAAGGGTGGGACTGACCACTGCTGGCCTCGTGTGAGACATATGTCCATTCTTTGGTCAATTGATGATACAGTCAAAACAAATCAATTTTACGGTAAAACGGGTAGCCTAGATGTGCGCTGATACATCAGGTATGATTTCTGATCGAAGTTTGTACTTGGTCAGGACATTTGTTGTCTGGGTTTGTGCTTGGTCAGTTAACCACTGATTCTGAGTCTGTCTCAGTTATATTATTATGGGGTTTTTTTCATTACGATTTTGTTTTTTTTCACTAAGTTATGCATATCTTGTTGATAGATGAACTCGTAGACCCCCATACCTAGTGCTGCATCATTATATATGATAGACTATGTAGGATATTTGCAATATTGTCCATAGCCAAGTTACGAAACTACCATCTATTTTATTTTATATACATACTGTATCTACTTATTTAAGCGTGCTAAAATTTTCAGGGTTTTGTTGTTTTTGTTTCCGTCATTTTGTCAAACTAAGTGAGTGCTAGAAACCTGAATGACATGACATTTTTGCCACTATATATATAGAATCTAAATCAAGATATGTACTGGGAATCACAGTTTCTCCTAATTATGATGGAATTTCTGAACCTACCGACTGTATCAGTCTTCTTTGCCTTCAAGTGCAGTGATCTTTGGTTTAAAAAGAGAATTTGATATCAATCAATGTTTGTGCTCATAAAATCTTTACAAAATTGGAAACAAAATGTATCCTATGATTCATTTAAGTGCTTATTTATAGCTCAACAAGAAATGTTATCAGAAAATTCCCAAACGTCAAATAATTTATTACCATAAGTTGCAGAGTTGATATGAGGAAAAATATTCTTTAATATATAGAGATGTTTATCACAAGTATTCTCAACATAACAAATTGACTACGCCACATGCTCGTTGAATCCCAACATAGTCAGCTGTTTGGAACTTGACCCTTTTGAAATGTAATTACCCAATACACAACCATGTGGCTATGTCTATGTGATGTGGTTTAAGTTCTGTGGTCAGATTAGCCTTGCATGCCCATGAATGATGAGATGTTTGTATGGACCATACTGAGAACAATGTAGAAATAGAACGGGTATTTATTGTATAAACTCCTTACCTCATACACCATACATATATGGTTAGGGTGTACTTATTCTCTTAGATTAATGCAACATATTGGTGCTTTGTAGTTTTTAAGATTTTGTTTTTGTCAAAAAAGCTATGTGTTGTTATGTTTGTTTCTGCTGTTATTGGTTGCTTCTGTTAATCCCTCCGAAATACAAAGTTGATTGGTCACATAAGCTCCTTAATTAGTGACTGAGAGAATGTATTGTCCAGTATTGGTAATCTCTCCATTGTTTGTAACTGTTTCTACATTGATCAATTGACAGGAGATCAATTCCATGTCTGTCCTAATTTTTGATATTGAATGTAGTATTGCTTCATTTCCCAACTTATTACTGAGATTACAGCAGAGGAAATGAAGAAAAGTTCCTATGACACGCCACCTCCTTTGAAGTGCTATTTCCCCATAAACTAGAAGCAGAAGCTGTGTAATTTAAAGTGTTACTTATGAATTTTGTTACTAATGGTTGCAAAGTGCTATTTGTGTTTTTTGTTACATCTGGCCTAGATTACTTCAGTCATGTATAATCATGTCTGGGTAACCTAGGTTACCACAGTCTAGGGCATTTTTGTCTAGCTTACCTCAGACATAAATCTAGTCTTGTGTTCCTGGGAAACCTTTGACAGTGATCATGTCTGTATAAATTGCTTTGGTTACCACAGACATGGATTGTGTCTAAGTTACCTTGGTTACAACAGACATGGATTGTGTCTAGGTTACCTTGGTTACCACAGACATGGATTGTGTCTAGGTTAGCGTGGTTACAACAGACATGGATTGCGTCTAGGTTACTTTGGTTACCACAGACATGGATTGTGTCTAGGTTACTTTGGTTACCACAGACATTGATTGTGTCTAAGTTACTTTGGTTACCACAGACATTGATTGTGTCTAGGTTACTTTGGTTACCACAGACATGGATTGCGTCTAGGTTACCTTGGTTACCACAGACATGGATTGTGTCTAGGTTACCGTGGTTACCACAGACATGGATTGTGTCTAGGTTACTGAGAGCTCCTCAGTCAGGAGATTGGTTATATAGGGTAGGGATAATACAAGATACAGGTTTGAGTTTTTCAATCTTTTGTATCTGTTTTATTTCCACCATTATTTCAACACTCACATCTCCGTGAAGATAATGAAAATGATTTTAATTTAGATTTCTGACGAACCTAATCAGTGTTTCAGAAATGTGTCGCGCAAAAACGTTTTTGGACATTAAATGATTTCATGTGATTGGGCGTTGCAGCCACATTAAGCTAAGGTTCACTGCTTCTAAGTCTAGTACAGGTGTATTATATTCAGACTTGCAAGTTTAGTACAATTGTATTGTTATTCAGACCTGTTATTCAGACAGGAAGAATCAAACTGAATATTTTTGTTGTTCTGTTATTTGATATTCAAATAGTGCTGAAGAAGACATTGTTAGTGAAAAATGTTCAATGACGCTTAGGATGTTTGTTACATGAGATTTATGGGAAGATGTTTACCTGTAGATCTGGAGTGATTTATGGGGAGATGTTTACCTGTAGATCTGGAGTGATTTATTGGGAGATATTTACCTGTAGATCTGGAGTGATTTATGGGGAGATGTTTACCTGTAGATCTGGAGTGGAAAGTTTCCTCATTAAGACAGTTTATACAAGCTTTCTTTCCTTTCTCATTTTATATGAAACTGATGTGATTNTTTTTTTTTTTTTTTTTTTTTTTTTTTTTTTTTTTTTTTTTGTTGAGAAGGATGTTTTAGAGAAATAATGTGTTAACTATATTTGACTGAAGATTATAAGTACGGGAAATGTTTAGTATTCATACATATAATGGCTTAAGATGGATGAAAGACAAGGTAATATGGGCCAAAAAGGGTTGTTAGTAAGAGCAAGGAAGATTAAACTCAGTGAAGTGATACAGATATTTCACCTGGTCATGTGATCAAACAGTGCTTTTCATTCTATACATTGATGGTCGATTTTCTTAAATCACGTCTTTAAATTTGTTGAAAGCCTACTTTTTACATAAATCAATTTCCTAGTTTTGCTGTTTCATAATTGAGATTTTATTTTTAATTGTTTGTTCATACCTTAATTTTCTTTTCATTTATATATTTGAAACATGCTTATTATTTTTTGGACTGAAATTACATAATTAAATTCATTATTGATAAGCCAATACATTGCCTTTTTAATTTCTCTCCAACCCAACCCGCCACCTACCCTTAGAATTCTAGCGAGTTAACCCTTAATGGAAGTATGGTGTGTAATTCAGTATAAATGTGTTATATGTTTGTTTGAAATGTTTATTTTCAAGACTTTTTTAATTATTGAATTTGAAGTCATCCTTGTCAAATCTCATAATAAGTATCAATCTCATTTTTTTTTCAAACGCAACAGACTGTATAAAAGTTGGAATTTGAGGTTCCTTAACGTGAACACCAGGTTCTTTATGAAATACATATAAGGAGAGAAAAAACAACAATTGTTGCAGGGAAAAAAATAAACTTTTCAATTGTTTTTGAAACATAATCCTTAAATGCACCTCTAAAATTATGTAAATTTTGCTGTCTTCATTTCGATATGAATACGTTGGTGGATTCTTATAGCCATGATTCAAACCATTGTTCTGGAACATTGTTTTTCTCATTGCACTCTGCCTTTTTCCCAAACACTTGGACAACTCACGGAACAATCTGTTATATATCTCTAACATTACTAAAATAAATAAGTTTTTCTTTTTAATCATACCCTTACAATGAAGTTACATGCATGGAAATCATGGTGTCCAGCCCTGGCCAGCTGTTTGTGTGTTAAAACAAACTTGTCTGGACTATAACACACAAACTTGCTGGACTGCCTCTCTTAAACTACTCGGTATATTTCAAATTAAGTCCTTCTTCACTTCATTACTATGCAAGGTAGTTTACTGCAGAATGTTGTTTTTTTTCATTTAGAGGTTTTGTATGCAGAGTTACGCCCCTTTTTCATTACCCCCCACCTACCCAATAATTCTGTCGAACCATGATCACACCCATTTTGGCTTTACAGTTTCTTCTGAATCTTCTACTGATAACATGTTGTCATTTTTAAACAGTTCAAGACATTTTAATTTAACTTGAGCATGCTTGCATCATTTACAACGGGTGTGCAATGCATATTAATTAGGTCATTGTGACCTTTATATCTAGGTCAAAAGGAAATCAAGGTATTATTTTCAGTAAAACAACTAGCTAAACATACTTATTTGAATCATGGCTATTAGTTGACTAACAATAGAGAACTTACCAGTTAGATATAAAGGATCCTAATTGGGGATGCAAAAAGACAAAAATGTCCACCTCGCTTTAGATTAAACAAGGACGCTGCGTGATGTAGTGATCAAAGCCTCTATTTGAAATGTTGTGAAGTGCACAATTTGCTGTTATTTAAATTAATTTATGTCTCAGTACCTGTTTCTTTTATCTCAAAAGTAGCTATTAGGAAACTCAATCAGGAAGCTGTAATGCCAACATATATTATGCACTGAAAATGGATACTGAAATTCGTAAGAATGTATATATATTTCGCCATCCAAATAGCTCAAATGACTTACCAAGTGATGGCTTTTTACAGTTGGGTTTACGGGTATTGTCAGCAGCCAAGAAAATCAGGTAGTATGATAAGTAATTGTTTTGCCAATATGATTGTTTTTTTAGGCAACTCCTGACTTCATGTCTTTTTCACAAATGTGTAGCATATTTCTTTATAATGGTGTGGTTATATTACTCATAGAAACTACCCAGCATTTCAAAATCAATTAGTATGAAATTTTCAAGTAGTTTGGATTAAGTTTTGATATTTTCAAGTTGATAGGGAAATGAATTGAGTTGATTTGAGAGAGTGCTAAGAACTGTGAAACTAACAAAAAGAACATATATATTTGTTATTATACTGAGATATCTATAAACCACACCACCAATGATAACCTGAACCCTGATTATACCACACCACCATTGATAACCTGAACCCTGATTATACCACACCACCATCGATAACCTGAACCCTGATTATACCACAGCACCAATGATAACCTGAACCCTGAGTATACCACAGCACCAATGATAACCTGAACCCTGAGTATACCACTCCACCATTAACCTGAACCCTGATTATACCACACCACCATTGATAACCTGAACCCTGATTATACCACACCACCATTAACCTGAACCCTGAGTATACCACACCACCATCGGTAACCTGAACCCTGAGTATACCACACTACCATTAACCTGAACCATGCTTATACTACACCACCATTGATAACCTGAACCCTGAGTATACCACACCATCATTAACCTGAACCCTGAGTATACCACAGCACCAATGATAACCTGAACCCTGAGAATACCACACCACCATTAACCTGAACCATGCTTATACTACACCACCATTGATAACCTGAACCCTGAGCATACCACAGCACCAATGATAACCTGGACCCTGAGTATACCACACCACCATTAACCTGAAGCCTGAGTATACCACACCACCATTAACCTAAACCCTGAGTATACCACACCACCATCGGTAACCTGAACCCTGAGTATACCACACTACCATTAACCCGAACCATGCTTATACTACACCACCATTGATAACCTGAACCCTGAGCATACCACACCACCATTAATCTGAACCCTGACTACACCACAGCACCATTAACCTGAACCCTGAGTACACCACACCACCATCGATATTTATGTTAACAAAGCTTGCGACCAGAAATCAAATTTATTTTATACAGAAAATGTATTCATTACAAATCCTTGTATTTTTTTTTTTTTTAAGTTTGTCATACTGATCATTAATTTCCTTCTTTATTTTTTGAGAATTGGAATTGATCATTGAATTCTCCTATTGAGGCCAACATTTTGTTTTTTGTTATAAAAATATATAAAATGTAGATGTGTAGTGAGGGCATTGCCAACCATCTATTCCTGTTTCAATCAATGAGCCTGCTTTTCAAAGTCACAAATCATTTCCTTACTATCTGGTTTACATGGTGGTTTTTTTTGAAATTTGAATGATCTGCTTTAGACAAACAATGATTTTCAGTTATTGACAAAATGTGATTCAACAATTAAAATATGAAAGCTTTTAGGGCTTGTTTAACAAAGATAGATGTGTTGTCCTTAAACCTGTGGAAAGTTAAAGTTCCCCAATTGCTATCATTTCAGAATCTAACTAATGTTTGCTTATAGAATCCATCTCGAGCTCAGTTCTTTTTTTGATGTTTTGAATTTTTTTAATGATCCTTAAATGATGCTTTCCTTAAACAAGTGCCTTTTGTAAAGTTAGAATTTTGAGAGTTAATATGATCTTGATGACCGGTGTTTTCTGTGTGGTTGTACTTTTAATGACCACAGCAGTTCTTTAACATAGCTACTTTTGATCAACTTTATCAACAAAATTATTTTTTCTTTTTTCTAAGCAAAACCAAACCATTTTGCCAGATTTTGGATTGACTGTAAAACCTTGTTATTGTTGTTTGTCAGGATATCCTTACTTGATATAGAAGTAGCTAAACCTAGTTATTATAGTAGCTATTCTTTGTTTACATACTTTTTTCTTAGATACCATTTAAAATTCTCTGCTGAGTGTGATTGCAAGTTTATGTGTGAATGAAAATTATATTCTCTTAAGTGAAATGATAAACCCTATGTCAGATTAAAATAATTTGTAAAGATTTTCTTCATCTTCCCTTTTATCAACCATGATGAAACACTAGTCCAGTCTTTTATTTCATAAATTGCATTGGTTACAGATTTCAATATTAATCAGAATAAAACACTAAAACATTTGAGTAGAAAACGAACAAAATTCACTATGATTTGGTTTAAAGAATTTAAAGTTTTAGAAGTTTTAAGCCGATACTAAGTAATTTCAATCAATGAAATAAATGTTTCTTCTGTTATCACTCAACAATTGAATTAATTTCCTATTTTGCAGTTTTTCCGAAAAATGATAACTTGGGAGTGATTGTTTTAGATCGTATTCTGATTATAAACAGGCTAGGTATATTTACTAAGTGTGTGCCAGTATGGTCACAAGAGTGAAAAAATGTGTAAAATTGAGCAATCTAGCTATGATATTAGGGGCAATAATATTAGCAGTGAAGTGTATTAGTGAAGGCAGCAACCCTATGTTACATGTTACTTTGATAGTGGTATTACATGTTACTATGATACTGGTGTAACATGTTAGTATAATACTGGTGTAACATGTTAGTATGAAACTGGTGTAACATGTTACTCCAGTATCATAGCAACATGTTACACAAGTATCATACTAACATATTACACCAGTATCGTACTAACATGTTACACAAGTATTATAGGAACATGTTATATTCACCAGTATCATAGCGACATGATATACTGGGTTCATAATTACATGTTACACCAGTGTCATACTAACATGTTCCACCAGTATCATAGTGGTATTACATGTTACTATGATACTGGGGTAACATGTTACTATAATACTTGCGTAACATGTTACTATGATACTGGGGTAACATGTTAGTATGAACCTGGTGTAACATGTTGCCATGATACTGGTGTAACCTGTTAGTATGATACTGACTGATGTAACATGTTACTACGTTACTGGTGTAATATGTTAGTATGATACTGACTGATGTAACATGTTA